TAATTTTTTAAGCACGCTGCTCACCAAAATTATTGTCGATAGCGCGCTGCCCCCAAAGTTATTTGTAGTGTACTGCTCATCAAAGTTATTTGTAGTGTACTGCTCATCAAAGTTATTTGTAGCGCGCTGCTCACCAAAGTTATTTGTAGCGCGCTGCTCACCAAAGTTATTTGTAGCACGCTGCTCACCAAAGTTATTTGTAGCGCACTGCTCACCAAAGTTATTTGTAGCGCTCTGCTTAGCGGAGTCACATGAGGTTGGCGTTGGCATCGCGATCATGTAGGCGCATGTGGGTCCGGACGGACTCCTTGCGAGCGGAGCGGTAGGAACAAAGGTGGCAGGCGAAAGGCTTCTCGCCGGTGTGCGTGCGCATGTGGATGGTGAGTTTGGCAGGTCTGTTGGTGGTGTAGGAGCATACGCTGCAGTGCAACATCCTTGCTCCTGAGAAACTCGAACTACGAACACTCGTGTTCCGTTGTAACGAAGAAGAACTGTGAGCAAATGCCGATAAACTGCGAGAATGTGAATGTGAAGATGAAGATTGTTTTCTGCCACGGGAGGATCTAGGAACTGGCTGATGAGGGATGGTTAAAGGGAAAGCAGAATTGAGAAGTCTTGTCGAAAAGGCCAGGTTGTTCGGGGTTTCCTCCAGATAAGCTTCGGCATGCGGGAAGTGGTCGGTGGCAGAAGCGCACGGATCGCTCAGAACCTGGAACCAACATACAGGAAAATGAGACAAACTCTCGAGAACTCATTTTATTCCATAATTCTACTGAAAATAAAAAATCATCAAGTTTCCAGTTACTACATTTTAGTGAAGAATGTTTTTTAACTGTGGAATAAATAGTGAAAATTATACGTGAGAATTTTCTGATAAGAATTAACTTTCTGTTAATTCTGTTAAGAGTTAAAATGTTTTGTTTAATTTAATGTTTAATGTTTCTGTTAAGCATCAAAATGTTTTATATTACAAAAAGAGTTGATAGTAAAATAAAAAAATTAGGATGAAGAATGCCTGAATGAAGGATTGAGCTTACAAATCCTGATTACTAGAACAGACTGTAATACAACCATAAAATAGATATAAACAATAGAAAAGTACAAGAAAATGACATCCGCACCCGCGGTCGCTTCTCCAGAGCTTACACCGAGGTGAGAGGTCATCAAATTGAATCAGTCAAATATGCGACTGAGATGTTGTACTGATGTAACACCGTGGGGCACCGATGTTGTAGTTATGTCTTCTTGCAGACCGACGTTGTATTTATGTCTTCTTGCAGACCGGCGTTATATTTAAGCCTTTTTGCAGACCGATGTTGTATTTAAGTCTTCTTGCAGACCGGTGTTATATTTAAGTCTTCTTGCAGACCGACGTTGTATTTATGTCTTCTTGCAGACGGACGTTGTATTTATGTCTCCTTGCAGACCGACGTTGTATTTATGTCTTCTTGCAGACCGACGTTGTATTTATGTCTACTGATGGCATCAATTCATCAAAAATATCACCCATGTAATTTTTTTCTTCAATCTAACTCTTGGTTTCTTTTCATCGTAAAAAAACACATTGGTAAAGAAACATACATCTGCCCACCATAAAGCAACAGTCGACGTGCTTTGATAACACCAAGATAAAATTAAATAACAAAGAGCTGATAATTTTGCATAGACTCTAGATTTTTAATAACAAAGAGCTGCTAATATCGCATAGACTACCAATTTTTATCAGCACAGACTATTGCTCTTCTCGCTCACCACCCATTCTCTGCGCATGTTATTTTTATCTCGAAAATTAAATATTGTTATCTCAAAGCCGTCACTAAATAGGTAGTACAATTTTGTACCCGTAACAATAGGTGAGCAAACATTGTAAACTTGCTGCCCAGGGCCTATACTTTCAAAAAAAGTTAAGAGATCGTAAGTTCATCAGCCAATCATTGACGGCCTTTCAAGCAAAATCCACCAATCGCAGACAAGAAAATAGAGCGTAAGTACTTACCTTCACTTAGCGAGTTTTGAAAGTATGGCCCCAGGAACAGTAACACCGTCAGCCAATCAATGACGGATCGCAAACTGAACCCACCAATCCCAGATGAGAAATCGGTCGCGAAATGCACTGAAGTCGCTGCATGAACTTAGGCAGCTCAGGTACATGTACTTAGGTCGCTATATGAACTTACGCCGCTATGAGCACTAAGGCAAGTACGACCTCTGCAGAATATAACTTAAGCACTTACTCATAAGTAATGTTATAATATGGGTGAGTAAGAGTAGGAACACAAGTAGCGCCGTAGTGACTCATGATGTCATCAACCTCCTTGGGTTGATGACATTAGATTTTTAGTGCCAATTTGTACGATATATCAAAAACCTGTTAAATAGATTCTAACGACCTCCTATATTTTTAGTGCCGATCTGAGTAAGACATTAAACTTGCAAGAAAAAGTATAATTGAATAAAATGCTCTCTAAGTACAAGGCACACTCACTGAATGCTCTCTGATACAAGGCACACTCACTGAATGCTCTTGGTAGGAAGACAGCGAGCTCTCAAATGTGTCGTTGCCAATGCACTCATTCCACCCACTCAAGACCTGCACATCCATAGGAACAATTAGATGCTATCCATGGAATTGAAATAGAATATAAAAACTTCATCAATCACCAATTCTTGTAACCACTACTTTTTGGGCATAGATCAAAGAAAGTGTGTTGATAATAACACAAATACAGTCTATTCACTAAATGTTATGTTTCTGACAGAGCAACTAACACATCAAAAACTTTTCATCAGTAGGTATGTAATTTTTTTATTAGAAATCAATACATAGGAGCAAGCACATTCCGGGATGGAAAATTGTACATCATCATTCCGAATGGAATACGAACACAAACCTCCAGATGAGAAGGGTCCAGAGACTCCCCGGTCTGTGAGCCGTTGTCTTGGTTGTTATCTAAATACTGCCCCTGCAGGAGGTGTTTGGAATCTTGAAGATCTAAACATGAAGTAACATCTTCTTCCTCAGGTTCTACTTTGACATCAGCATACTGAAAAGAAAATACTACCAGTATTGAGCATGCATTGTTGGATACATCCCATCAAATAAAATCAATGACTAACAAACCTTACCTATGTTTACAGTACCTACCGGTACCTATCAAATTAACTAGCATAATCAAATCATCATTTTTATCTGGGAATGAAACAGGTTGAAGTGGTTTCTCAATGAGAAACTATGAAAAAGAAGAATTCATAAAGTACTGTTCAAATTTCACTCACCTGGCCATTACTCTGATTTACTTCAATAAAATTTCCTTCTGATTCCATGCAAGAAGAATAAACATCTTCATGCAAATCTTTTGTTTTTGGATTTAGAATTGTGTTGCTGTCTTCAGTTTTCATTGCATTAAGCCTCAAGCTTTTAGATCTCTTCCCATCACTACGAGTCTGGGTGATATCAGAATGATGTCCACCATCTTCAGACGATGTGGTGGAGAGTTTTCTCTTCTTTTTAGAATATGAAATGTCTTCTTTAGCAACATTGAGAACCCTCTTAGCACGGCAAGGACTAGGATTTTCACTAGACACATCTTTTTCTACATCATCTGGACCAGCCAAACCCTTAATCTGCAAGCTCTCTGCTGCCTTTATGAGGCTGGATAGCTTCTCCTGAACCACATTGACCTCACCAATGTACATGTAATGTAACAATGCTTCAAAATCTTCTGAACTTATGTCTTTGAGAACTACCACTGGGTGTTTACATGTTGTTTTTTGGAAAATGTTCTCAAAATATTCACTGCATGTTGATAACACAAACTTGTGAAGAGGGTAAAATTTGTCCCCACACAAGAGTGTCACATCACTCAGTGACTCCTGTATCAGAAAAAAATCATGACTTTAATAATGTCTCCAATGTTCAGTTTCATATGCAAATAAACAGTCAATTGAACATTCAAGTATTTTTTTTTTTTCAAAGCCAAGGCAAATTTGTACATTAAGAATAATCATATGCATACCATAGTTCAAATATATACCTAGGTATTTAAATCAAAAAGTAATGCACATTACAAAAATATATGATCGGAACACTTTGCCTATTATCTCATAACCAAATATGAGCAAATTTGTCTGAAAATTAAACTTCATATTTGGTAACTATAAAAGAAGTGGGAGGAATGGAATCAAAAGTAAGGTAAAATGTTACAAATAGGTACTCTACATCAAAGCTGATGCCCTGAGTGAATAAAAAAATTAGCATTAGTAGTATGACTGGCTTATTATTCTATGATATAAATAGATGATTCAATGGTAAATCACAACAATACTGACCTTACACCTGATGTCTGTTAACATGCTGATAAAAGTTGACTGGTGGTTGTTCCATTTCAGTGACAAAAGTCCAGCAGTCATCCTGATATTCTGAAAGAAAAATTCTAATAAGCTCAATTGAAATGTGTACTGTAATCTGGAATCATTCAATTACATAAATTTTTATGTGTACAGTCCCAGCCTGAATTAATAGTAAATAGCTAGTATCACATTTTGAAGGGAAGAAGGAATCCAAATAAAATACCATATCAATTCAATTTTATTGACTCTTTCAATAAAATCAATTTTATAAACAAAACTGAATCACAACTTTCTTAATAGATTAGAACAGGTTAATAGTTATTTTCATACAATTGAACCCCGCTAATTGTAGTCTTGTAGATATGGTGTTAGAAAATCATGTGTGGAGCATAACAAAGTACTGTATTTAAATAACAGACAAGCAGATCCATATTTCATCTTTATTTAAGGAATTGATCATTAATAACTTTGGTACAAAATATCCAATCTTGACAGGACTGGAATCTTCCTACTTGTTTCGGAAATCTTGCAGCTCCAACATGACAAATTTTTATTACATTTGAAATCTTGCGGCCCAATCGTGCACATTTGTTCACAATTGGATAGGATGTTATTCATCTGGCAGAAATATTGCGGTTCCAGAAATAGCAGGAAACCTTTAGCTGAGGCGCTAAAGGTAGATATTATCCGTGCTTGTCAGTGAAACAATTATGACAATTGGATTGAACAATTGTTTTTGCCTGCTTTTTTAGGAAACTTTTGCCTAATATTCCAAATAAGGCTAAGCATGGGCATTTTTTCTCATTCATGGGTACCTTTTATCAAATTTTCTGGTATACTGGTTACTGGTATAGGTTTATTTGTGAATGCTGATCAGCAGCCAGAAGGAAAATAGCAAGCCATTTAGAAACTTTTTTCACTTGTGAATAAAATCTTTTGGCACCACAGTGACAAATTTTTATGCTTTGAGAATCTTATTGCCCATCCATGTAGTTTTATCAATAATCAGAGAGGAGGATATAATTTATCTAATGGGAATCTTGTGGCTCCAAAAATTATAGGAAAGCTAAGTTGTGGCTTAAATAGTAGATATATTTGAATCTATTAGCCAACTAAACCTGGTTGTTGTACAGTATACATACTGTACTTCACAAAAAATATAAAAATAAAATGCAAGTAAAATTCGGCAGATTTTCCTTAGTTTTTAATAAGAAATTTGAAAAAAAAAACAGACCTAGAAATGCATGAACTAGGGCACTAGGCCAGATTTGCATGCACTGTTGTTTCAAATTTTCAAGTTAGGTGCTTCACTGCTTGACAAGTTGACTCTGCTTGAGTGCTTGAGAACTATTTTGACCAATTGGCTGTTTCGTGACAACTGACAGTGCAACTTGGCATTTGCGAGTGATGGAAAACACAAGTAAGAAGTCACCCTGTGTCCCTGTCAGTCTGTCACCGAGTGTCAGAATGACACTTATTCCTATCAACTTACTGATGAAAATTCAGCAAAAATTCTGTGGTGAAAAAACAATTTTTTGTGAAACTATGAATCAATCAGCTTTGCAAATTGTAAATAAGGCATAAAAATGCAAATGGTATTAATAAGGATAGTGATAACAACAATAATGCGTCCGGACTCCGGATGAATGAAATTTCTTCTAAAACGGAATTAAAAAGAAAAGATTCACAAAACGCATATTGCATCAAGAATTCTAAAAAAATCTCGCTAATCATAATAAAATAATTCACATTTTTTTACCGGTCCGACACTTCAGCGAACTCGCGTGCGAACTCGCCTGCGAGCTCGAATGGAAAACCTAACTTAATTTTCAACTCTGGCACGCATAACTCCGTCAATAATGGACGGATTTTCTTCAAATTTGAAATATAAGTAGATAATATCAGTACNTGGTCACCGAAAATTTAATAGAGAGTGTTCAAAGACGTGCGACATGGATAATTCCGGGCTTGAAAGGCAATTCCTATGAGGAAAGATTTAAGATTATGAAGCTTCCAAGCCTCTGTTATCGACATCTGCGTTGGGAACTCAGTTAAGCGTACAAGTATACGCATGGTATACAAGGTTCCAGAAGGATTACTAGAATTTGAAACAAGAACCAACACCAGGGGTAATGGCTATAAACTAAAAAAACTGCGTTGTAACACATCCATTCGACAACATTTCTTCTTGCTTCGAGTCACGACATGTGGAACAGCCGCCCTGATAACATCGTTGACACTCCGAGTGTCAGTTATGGAAAGATCGGGTTCCAATTACGGATCCCTTGTGAATCAAGTCACGAAAAATTCAAGAATTGGCAACTGGCCATGGGCCTATTTCTTTAGTGCCGACATTTCTATTCTATTCTATTATGATTTATGTGGTTAGTTTTCTGCCTGAATAAGCCTGAAGCAAAGTTGTGCTCCATCCGAGATGAAAGATCATGAAAATAAATTTGTACGATGGCTTCTACTGATTAATATTAACGAGCTTGTACGCATTTATTGTTATTTGATTTGTTTTTGAAAGACAGTAGCTACCTAACTGACTTGCATACACCAATTATTAAAAAAAAATACTCGGGCATCCGTTTAAAAATAGTACAAAGCAGAATTTTTCATACAAATGGAGTTCAATTTTTCTGTGGATTTTAATCAATACAATTCCGTATACAGGTTGCGCACGAAAGGTACGAGTGATCTCAAAAACATTCATTAGCCTGTTAGTTAAAAAGATATACTTATATAAAAAGATGTAAGATAAAAGGAATAGACAGATCCGCTACATCAGATTCGCCTTATTTTGCTTGAGGCCTCAGCAAAAAAAAATTCATTTGAGTCGACGTCGTTTGCGTAATGGGATTGGGCATCAGAGAGGGGTAATTTCAGAAGTTGTCTGGAAACCATTTCGGTGAGTTCCTTGAGCTGCTAATACAGAGGAATTGTCAATTTCACCTGATTTATTATATTAATATAGCAAAGTAAGTGAGAATTTGTCCCTTAAAGTGTTCGATGATCGAAAATGCTTACAAATAGCAAACCTTCTTCAGTATTTTTAATAGTAACAACAAGAAAAGTACAAGAATCGGCGACAGGCCTATCCAGGCCTATTCTTTATTGCCGAGGATACTATACTATACTATACTAATAGTAATCACTTCCCTCCCAACCCCCGGTGCCAAATATTTTTGAGTAATTCATTTTTGCTTGCATGTGCCTTAGATAAGCTTCGGTATCGGGCGTATTTCCGAAAAAAATTACACTTATTTTGAACTCTAAAGTCGTCTACATTAATTTTAGTTGTGCAACGCCGATTTTATTTCTCATTTGTCTCGCCGATCTCATTCTCATTTATTCGGTTGAGCATGTTTTCTTTATTACGTTTGGAAGACGCTTGCTACCAAATTCAAGGATGAAAGTACAATGTAGATACACTCAAACAACATAATTTGGAAAATGTATGGAGAATTGAGACGATTTATTTGCCGCGCTTAGTACACATTCAGCATTGAGAGGCGCTTGATGGGACTCAACGCATTGAAGTTAGTATAAAAACAAACAACAAACGCTTCTTTGCCTGGGAGTTTCAAGAAAGCAGGAACATTGCAGTGCCAAAGCCTAAAAGTAACGGGTTCACACGAAGTGTGTGGTTTAGTCAAGTTCTATAAAATTCTAACCCCTGATTTTGCGTGGTTAAAACCATTTCTTTATATATGACGTGTCAATAGTTTAATAATGTTGTCATACGAGTAATCTAGTATAATAAACACTTCCATGAGCACCGGAATTACCCAAGGACTGAAAAAAGCCGCATGCGATAACTCGGTATCCTACTGCCCGCTGTTGTTCATCTTGGTATCTATGAGTTACCTAATGTGTAAGTATAATTTTTGCATATATTAATCTTTGAATAAAGATGTCTGTTATTGAAGGAGTAGGTAGAATTTTTTTAGCACTTACGCTAAATAGGGTTTAGAAATTATCTAATCGAATAAAAAATGGTCGCCAGTCAAAGAAATTATCTTTATGATTGTCGTACGCGAATTGGAAGCATAAATATGTTGAGAAATATTACAAGAAATTAGTTACAATCAACCATCATGCGCAACAACTCTCACAAAAGCTACATGTATTTGCAAACACAAGCCTACTTACTTGCACCCCTCTTCTTACATAGCGCATATCTCCTCGATACCTCTTCTCCACTATATACCGTCAATGCCACTTACGTCGCCACAACTTGTGTCGCCAGTATTCAACATTCAATAAAAACTATGTATTTAGTAAGCAGAATTAAGCCATAACTTTCGAGCGTGATTATAAAACTTTCTTTGTTAATCTGCGGAAATCGAAGCTAGCTACCAATCGTAATTCTGATCAGTATTCTTAGGTTTCTATTAACTAGCGGCGAGTTAAGTGGAGATGCTGCCAAGTGGTGACTTGTGCGGCATTAACGGAAGCTTTCAATAGTAATGTGTCGAGTCGTTAAATATGATGCCCCTTAACAGTAATGTGACGAGTCGTGCTGTAAAGGATTAAATGAAACGTATGAGGGAAGATTTTTTTAATTGTTTCATCATTTTTAACCGTTTGGTTCCGAAAACTTTTGCTAAGAAACATACTCACGCACACTGACACACAGACACCGTTAATTACCTACACGATTTGGGCGAACGCATCACAGAAGATGACCAGGGGCCATACTTTCAAAACTGGCTAAGTGAACGTAAGTACTTACGCTCTATTTTCTTGTCTATGATTGGTGGATTTTGCTTGAAAGGTCGTCAATGATTGGCTCATGAACTTACGATCTCTTAACTTTTTTTGAAAGTATAGGCCCAGGTTAGCCATGCCATCCATGTCTATACGAACAAACGCGCCCATAGGGTTCAGGACACACATGATTAAATCATTTTCCATTCCATGATCCAGTTCCTAGATCGAGGAAACCTGGCATGGATAGTCCTTATCCATCACACGAAAATGTAAAATTTACAGTCATGCCAAGAGGTGCATGTTCTTTCCCTACAAATAATATTATTAATGTGTTACCTCGAGAAAGAAATTCACCTTGTCTTTGAAAAATTTCCCCATGCTTCTTTCTATGCATTTCATAGCGATCATATAATTGTGAAAGGTTGTACAGAACGAAACAGGTTGACTCTAAATAACAAATGACATCACCTGGCACGAGGCACCTCATTATTTTTACACACCAGTTCCATTCCAAATACTAATGAAAAATATCGTAATGAGAATTTCGTATATGAATGCAAACACAGGATACCTGCGACACTGATACAGACTGATGAGTAATGAGCTGAAGAAATATTATGACGACTGAAGTCATGCAGAAGATATAGGCCAAAAACGAGGTGGAAGAGATGGTTGGTCACTTAACAAACTGAGGCTTTATCGAAATAATACAATGAATTGAACTATCAATTTAGCTATTGACTGTAAGTTGAATCACTTACATAATTCAAGCCATTAAACTGAAAAATCATTCACGGAAATTATGATTATTTTGCCTTCCCAATTAAGCTGAAAAGACTGGACTGAATCTGAAACTCGTTGTGCTTCTTCTCAGATGAAATAGCTGATATTTCTTAACACAGTTTAACGTATTTCTTAACACAGTTTCGAAATACGCGCACCGCTTGCACCGATTTAATGCAATGCAATTTAACTAACTCAGTTTTCAAATATTTTATATATAAAATTTTATCTGCAAGAAAAAGTTTTCAGAAAACTTTATGTAAGGCTTTGGCGAGGCTGTTTGAGGCGAAGCTGCCACCTGAGTAGAATACAATACAATAGAGATGTCAGCGACAAATTATTTAATTTTTTTATAAAACTAAACATTGAACTAAATGATTTGACGCCTACTTTTTATGCTAAAATGTAGACAAAACACTGCATTGAACGTGAATGGTGAATCATTTCCATAATTTAATTGGTAGTCAGTGATGTGTTACTGCCTCCAATATTTTATCACTCCACCTAAGAAATGAATAAGCTTCTCTTCCGAAATATTGAGTCTACGAGTAAAATGTTCAGTAAACGTAATGATCATAAACATTCAGGGGCGTAATGTGCAGCGTTGCGCTATACTGAAATAAAAACTCGCTCCTGACCTATTGATTTTAGGCAATCCTAATAGAAATTATCTATTGACATCAAAGAATTATTAGCTTTGGCTTAAAACACGATGATGACGAAACGTCGTACAATGGAATTGTGAAGATTAATGGTTTAATGTTGCATCACTTTTCATAAAGAGTGATTACTAACTAAAATAACTAAAAACATCAAATAAATTCATATCACAAGAAAATTACTAAAGAGGAAAGTTACGGAGGAAGACATTCAATTAATGTACTACATATTTCAAACAGTCATACTTCAGGATACATTATACACATGAAATTGGACAGG